CAGTTCGATAGCGAGACCAATCTTTCAGTTCAAGACTAGCGCAGCTCCAGGATTCAGTAGAGACGCAGGAGGCGACCTGAAGAATTCAGACGACAACGCAGACGGCATGAGCCTGCCGGCACTGAAGGCTGCCGCACAACCACATATACCTGAAGGACAAAAACCAGCGGACGAGGTTAAGTTGGTGGGCAAGCCATTGATGTTCAAGCCTCTGTCTGTGGCAAGGAACCCCCAGAAGAAGAAGAAACTGAATTCTGGGCTGGCAAAACCAGCGCCGACTCCCGCACATGAACAGGCTCGGCTGAAACCGGCTGAAGCAACACCAGAGGCCACGCCAGCCGTTCCCAAGAAGGTATCGCTGTTCTCTTTGCACACAGAAGAGCCTTCTGAGCCTGCAGACAGGAGTTCTTCAGGCACTTACGAACCAATGTTTGCGACGGCAGAAAGCTCATTGACCTACGATGAAGGCGCATATGGCGACTATGCCAGCCATGCGCAAGCAGGTCCATCCGCAACAACATTGCCAGGCTCTGAGTCCCTTGATACAGTAGTGGAGGACCTCAACCTCACTGCCGCTCAACGAAGAGAGCTCTTTGGCCGCAATGGCCTGGGCAACCAAGCAGCTAAAAAAGTAATCAACTTTAATATGGATAAAGAATATAGACACAACGAAGAGATTCGGGCCGCAGGAGAGGAACAGACCCATAACCCTGTGCGTGCGATCCAAGGAGGTGGAAAGCACAGCTTGCGCCAGTTGGTACAGAATGCACAGAGCCAGCGCGAAGCTCTTGAGGATAGTTTTGCCAAGGGGAAGAATAATCGAAAAGAGGCAGGGAGCAAGTACGGATGGTAGTGATGACAATGATACCCAGATTTATTTAATATATTCAAGAATGGTACTATCTATCGTCCCCCATTTTTGTCCAGAATATTTACTCCACAACCATATGCCGTCCTCTATAACGCTGAGATCTAATATGCCATGTAACAAAGCATACGTGCAATCGAACAAAAGGGGTGTCTTGAAGCCAAAACGCTCGCCATGCAACCTTTAAAACAAAACAGAAGAGAACAGAAGAGAACAAAACAAATAAGCCTTCAATATCAAAAGATCTCAACTCCGGCCTTGCGACCGCTCTGAAAGGCATTGTCTGCCATCATGAAGCCCCATTCTCCCCGCGTGGTGGGCGAAATATCGTCATAGTCATGTGGTGTTAACGGCCCAAACCTTGGTGATGCTGGACTCATGATGGGTGTTGGCGTAAGGGGACTGAAAGCGCTTCGATTGATGGGACCGGCGGTTAAGATTTGATCTATCGTCGAAGGTGGCTCCCATTGTTGCATTGTAAAATACAATTGATCTGTCGGTCGTGCTGTGCGATCGCCGTCTTCCTCCTCCTCTACCTCGGCCTGAGTTGGTGCTTGAGTTGGCGTTTGAGCTTGAGCTGGAACCGAAACTGGAGCTGGAACTTGAATCTTCTTGGGCTTTGGTTTCAGAATGGGGCCCGGAGTGAAATTTGTCTGGAGTTTAAGCAGAGGCTTGGGCGAGGGCGTCTTCCCTTTGGAGACATCCGTGCCAATTGTCGCCTCCTCAGCCTCTTCTTCCTTGTATCGTTCTTGTGAGTCGCTGATAGGTTTTATGGCTGGCTCCGCAAAGCTAGTAAGACCTGAGATGCCACCATGCTGCTCTGGTCCTCCATACGCCCGCCTATATATGCGATCAAGGTCCACAAGCGCCCAATTAGACACACTCAGCCAGTCATACGACCGGAGGATGGCGGTTTTTGAAACTTTTGCACCATTGGTTGCCAGGATGATACGTCGGAGTTCGTCAACGGCGTCTTCGAGACGGAGGTGGGATTTCGTTTTGGAATAGCTGGACAAGGCACTCTTGAGACTGTACAATCTATCGAGTGATAGAACTGTGAGGCCTTCGGAGCAGAAAAGGACCTCGTTCTGGATGATGGAGCTATGGATGAGCTGATTGGTGAGCCCGCACGAGGAAGCTCTGACAGCAGGTGATAGCCACTCAGTGCTTTGGCGAGTTAGTTATGTTCTATGGAGAAACGAGGTGTCTTACCCTATCGCAAACTTCTTCTCCGTCTTGCTCAAAATCGAGTTGAGGATCTTTTCGGACCTAGGGTGGAGCTCGTTGGTGTGGATGAGTCGCATACCGAAGCCTGACGAGGCGCTCATCATTGAGCTCATGGTATCGGTGGTTGTCGATGATGCGGTGCAAGGTGTCATGGGAGGAGGAGACATTGGCGTGGATGGTGAAAGAGGCCATCTGAACCGAGGGCTGGACGCTTCAAGCGGGGGGACCTGACCGGGTGAAGACAGAGCACTTCGCGGAGAATTCATCGACCGCAGGGACGTTGAAGAGCCAGTTCTCACCAGCGATTTGAGCCTGGAGACAGGACCTTGAGAGAGGTTCAACCGAAGGCCAGGAGATAGTGGTGAAGGAGTCGTCGGAGTCAGCAGACCCTTGGGGGGCACAACAGAAGGGAGTTGATAATCCCGGCGGGCTACAACAAGTGTGATATGTTGCGACTTGCGGGCCAGACGCGAAGACACATGCTCGAGAGCCGGTGCCAGATGAGGTGGCAGGTGATGAGCGTCGAGGATTGAGGTACCAGCCTCGAGGGGTGACGAGATCCTATCCTTGAGCGACATTCTGAAGTTTCGAAGTCGTGCTTCAGTAAAGAGGACGACTTGACCTAGCGTGATATGATCTGGCAAAGAACGAGGAAAACCAACAAGCGGCAAGGTGCACTGAGAAGAGAGAAAGGGAAGAGAGAGAGAGAGAGAGAAAAGACAAGGAGATACAACGAGGTGACCGAACCAAGCAAAAAGCCGCACAGCAGCTGTGATATCCTCTCAAACTTGATGGTAGTGTGAACCCGCCGTGGTCGTCGTGATCCTGCATCAGAAAAGTTTCAAGAGCAGAGAGAAACAAGTGGACGAAAAGAGTATTAAAAGAGATGACCGCGTCAGAGCTTATTCTTCCCCGGACATGTTCTATCTAAAAAAAGAACGAAAAGGCAGCTTGTTTATGTTTCACCATCCAGTCACTTTTCCCCTCCCCCTGGTGGCCTCCCACTGAGCGGCCGGCCTGATAACCTCGGTGGACGTGGATTGGCGTGGACATGGACAGTGGGGGGGGGGGGGGGGGGGGGTTCATGAAACGGAGGCGTGCCAAGATGAGTAAGGCTCTGTTGTCGTGAGTTGTGAGAAAGGGGAATTGCAGCATCAATCACTCGCAGTTGATCAGCAATTAGCGGTGATTTACAGATAGGATAGGATAGGATACCTCTGGTGGTTTACAACAAAATGTAGCCCCGCTGTGAGTGCCCAATACGGCTTAGTCAAGGGATCTCGGCGGCTAACGTGCATTAGTGGCAGCTCGGCTACTATTTTGAGCTGCTGGCGGGGTTGACAAGACGGACTGTGATTGGCAAGCTCTAGCCTTATACTTAATTTAGAAGGTCGTTGGCGGCCTGGCAAGGCATGTGAGTGGCTGTATGCATGTGAGTGTGACTGATGAACTCGCAGATTTTGATCGAGCAGGGGATAGATAGACTAACTATCACTTGTATATACTATATTAAATAAGCTAATATTGATCATGTTTATAGTGAGAAGCTCAACGGTCAGATCTCCATAATCTAGCGGAAACAAGATATCATCAAGACTGACTTTACTGTATTCGTATGTATGTATGTATGTATTCTCCCTTGTTCTAAAAACAGTTCCTTATCCTTGCCCATCAATACCACTCCCCCGTTCTGTTCCTGCGTTTCCTCCCCTCACTAACCTCGACACCATCATGATCGCTGCTCTGATCTCGGCAGTCGGGCTGTGACCATGAACCAACAGTTCCCGTCTCCCGGGTCAAAATATCTCGATAGCCACATACCAACTCCCAGATCCTTGATGCCTTTCAGTGAATCTAGCAGCCTAGGATGGGCATGGAGCACATGTATGAATAATATGTTGCTGAAACATCAGCTTCTTCCATTGCTATCGTGAATCAAAGCAAAAACCTCGCTTGAAACGCTTCAACCACATCAAGGACAAGCAGCAACACATCTCCATATCAGAGTCTCGCTGTTTCATCTATAGACAATTTTCCAAACCAACTAATTTTCGCATATCTGTGGAATGGCATCGTAGCATCGGCGTGCTAAGGCTGGCCACCATTTTGGTCCGGTAGCTAAAGATAGCTTTTCAGCCAGCCGCCAGCCTGGCCTTTCGGTACCGTCACGACCTGGACCTTCAATGCTTGGGCCAGGGCCTCCCAGTCTAATTCGCGTGTGGAAATGGATAGCAATAGCCAGTATTTTCTCCCTTCGCCTGTCGCACGGTTTAGAGCTACCGTCAATCAGAGGCTATTCTCAAGTCGCTATTCATAGAACAACATGGCGCCACCCTCACTTCACCTAGCGGTAACAGATACAATTCTGTTCTAATCTGGATGTGAATTCGTTTCAAGGTTACCGAGTTCACCAGGAGATGCCCCGCGGCTTACCGGACCATCAACCTGGCTATCATGAATCATGTAGTCGTGTGTTCGTTGACCCGGCAGATTGTCTGTCAGTTGTTGAGTCTCATACTGTCCTGACTTTGAGGAACAGACTGGGAGCTCGTCTCTTTCTCTGTCTGTTTCAGTCATGACTCCCTCATCCTATTCATCTTATTTTCCATAACGCCATCACTCCTTGCTATGCAAATTTGCTCCAGAAACACTTGCTTCTGCCTTGACACCATGACTGTGCATTGATGTTTTGAGCCTGATATACCATCCATTGCCCACTCATTCTTTAAGCTAGGGTCCAGTCGAAGCACACCATCAATAAGCTCAGAATAAGATTCACCCAGCTTCCACTAAACGCCTTTCTGCCCTTGTCCGTGTATGCGTGTCCGTGTCCGTGTCTGTTGCAATTTTCTGGTTTCGAGCAACCGCAGTGGATCGTCTAAATTTCTTGGGTATAATCCCGACCTCATGACATCTGCTCCAGATCGTTTATTTCGTTCATGCCTGAAATGTTCATCTCAACAATGTCATCAAGTTGCTCAGATGACCCGCAGGATCCTTCCCAGTCTTTGCCCAACGTCAGCCGTCACCTCATGTCTTTTATAATTGAGTTGGAGTCGCTGAACGACTGTTACATACCGGAGCCATCTTCCTCCAGTTCGTCAACAATTAGCCTGCGGAAGGGATTCAAGACATCTGTGAAACATGTGAGCCTTTTGGTTAATGATACTGGATAAAATTGTAGAGAAAATGACCCACCGTCCTGCAATGTGAGGAATTCCACGTCTAGATCGGGTTGTGTACCCGTTGTTGTTGCCATCGTAGCTGCACATCCCTCAATTACCTTCAGGAACTTTTCTGCAATTTCCCGACTCATTTGAGCCCGTCTGCGCACATGGTGGTCCCTGAGATACTGGAGACAAATAAGGCCGATTTGCTTCGTCATCTGTCTGATTGAGACTTGATCATCCGCAGTGACATCGCGGTCACTGGTAGCACCAGCATCAATCTTACCCAACTCGCAAACTAAAAAGTCATGTGTGCTCCGGCGCACTTGTTCTTCAGGGCTTGCGAGGAGAAAAGGTACCCATTTTGGGATGAGGTCACGGCTGAACGTGCGGACCGCCTTACAAAATTCCCTGTCTTGTTGGCGGAGATCCAATGCCGTTCTGAAAAATTGAACAAAATACAGGCCCTCAGTGTTTTGAAGACTTCTCGCTTGCATAGATACGTGTTCAATCATGTCCTTGGCGTTGCTGAGCTGTTCTGTGCTTTCGAGGTACGTGATAGAAGCCCGCAGAAACGGATCCATGGCCTGGGTCGAAGTCTCACCACGGATACATAGCTTCAAGGTCCCGAGTACTTTTTCATCCATACTGCTGTCCAGCTTTGTCAAAATTCTGATGATATTGTTGCAGCCGGCGTGTTCTTGATCGAGGGTAAGGAGTTTTTCAACAAACAGGCTGGTATAGGAACCGTTTGGACTGCTGTAAACAAGGTCCACCTCTTCGGGCGTCCAGCTGAAGGCCTCAGCTAGTTGTGATACACGTTCTGTCGGGTCTTCGATATATTCGGTTCCTATTTGCGGCCTCATCTGACTCATCAAGTGGCTGACTAGTCTGATAATCGATACATACGAGGTAGGCTTTGTAGTATTGTTCCGCCTAATGACACTTTGGAGCATTCTGGCCCAGTTCCCACTGAGTTCCTGGAGCGGGTCAGCAGAAATGATTCTGATAGCGCTCGCTAGGAAGTTCGCGGCCAAGACATATCCGGTTTCCCGGTGACCCATGTCAGCAAAGTCTAAAATAGCTCCAAAGTATTCGTCCCAGGCTCTAATGTGGATATGAAAGAATTTCCAAAGGTGTTGGAATATCATCATTACGCCGTCAATAACGGAGCGATGGGAAGCATCAGGTTCAGAGAGTGCCTCGTCTCCGTCAGCATCATGAACCAACTTGTATCGAATCTCCGGATCGTAAACATTGGGCAAAGCCGTCGAGATTTTCGTGACTGCAACCTTGAAAAGGTTCTTGATCTTGCTCCGCACTAATTGATCTGGATTACGCTGCAAAAGCATGCGAAGAGCGCTCGGATGCTGATTAAAGTACTCATAGAAGGAAAAGGCACACCGCTCGCATGATGTGACTGCGTCTTCGATAATCTCTTCGTACGAGAGGAAATCCGGTGCGTCCTTAGTCCTTGCAACAACCTGATCCAAGTTGCCAATGAGCGTTCGCATGGCAAGATCCTGGAGTCCATGCTCTTGACTACGCATGGCCATAAAGCTGTTGATACTCGAGCTCTTTTCGCTTCTGCCAAGGGATTTGCAGTACTGTTGTGACTGACGAAACAGAACTTGAACAAGCTTGACATTGCTTGGGTCGTAAATACAATGGCGGCGGAGGATGTTCGTATTCTCGTCTGAGAGATGATCCGCAAGGTGGTCTGGCACATCAACACGAAGGGGTGCTGGAATGGCAAGGGCCGACATCTTTTCCTGTTCCGCGCGCAAGGATGAAGAACGCTGGTAAAACAGCATATAAGCGCTAAAGTTCTTGTCGTACAAAATGCCGTTATTATCGTATATGGGACGGTGATCCGTACCTCCAAACGTGGAGTATTCCATTTGCGCAGGGTCCCATGGCGTCACTAAGTCATCGTTGAATTCTACCCACAAGGGCCGATTGCTCGAGGTGGGACGCTCGCGAATGTATGAGTAGTAGTGTCCGGATTCAGCTGTGCCTGCGTGAACGAGCACACCCACCAGTTCGAAGATGTCCTCCTCGATATCGCTCTTTGGGTTACTGAGATGCTCAATTGTATATGGTCGCATATCAATTCGATCCGGAAAGGAGAAATAATCATTGATCTTGTTTCTCTGTAAGGTACGCAGGTTGAAATCAAACCTTTTCAAATGGAATATGACATTGTCGGGAACATCTTTGAGGCAGGCCCTATGAAACATTAGCCACTATGGGGCATCACGCCGGGAGGGAGGCCAATACCTTTTTACTGCGTCAACATGGCGATCGCATGTTGAGCACTTGTACTTATTGTCTGGTTATTCGGTCAGCATCTCCTGTTTTCTTACCAAGAGACTTTACATACCTCCTTCCATGACCTCGCCATCCACATATGCCTGGAGACTTTCTGCTAATGTGCCTTTCCCTTTGATATCACACTGAATTGCAGAAAATGGCTCAAGTCGCTCCGAAATATGTTCGCATTCTTTTGACTTGACTTGTTGCACAAGCTGACCACCATAGAACGATTTTATGACCCGCTTTTCATCGTGGCCAGAGAGCTGAGTCTCCCAGCGATCAAGTAGTAGATTGTAAAACTCGTCGACGTCCATCTGATTGTGAATGTCAATCAATGCGTCGTCGTATGTTTTGATGGAATGGACGAAATTTGACGGATCGACGAAGCGACGGTAGCTCTCCTGCATATGACCGAACAGTTTCTGGGTGTAGGACAGGAGTTGCTGGCTGTTTGCAGGATCATTGATACGGCAGCCGAGGATGAAACGCCTAAACGTAGTGTTCATGAAGAGTTGTGTCATCAACGAGTTGAGATAACAAGTGTTAGACAAATTCAGCAGACCAGCATACCCACAAGGGGCTCGAAGAGCTCTGTGTCGGTCGAAATGGTAATTGAGATCATAGATGTAGTGGTCGTCTGGACTTGGTGTCAGTATTTGCACTTTACTAGAACATAGCACGTACCCTCTTCATCGTCGAAGAATGGGACTTGCTCATCGAGAGCTTCCACAACCGCCACCATCTTCTTCCGGTCGTGTTTCACAAGAGTGAATAGCACATCTGAAAGTTTCGCTCGAGTATCTTCGTTAAGGATCACTTTGGGTACAGGCTGCCCACTTCGCAGGTCTTTAGGAGGATATAAGTGCTTCCAAACAAGTGACATTGCGAGGTTACTGGGCCAGGTCAGCATACATTCCGGGACAAAAGATGCAGTATAATACCTAGGAAGTGTCTTGGACTGTGCGACTGAGTTATCTAGCTGGAGACAAATGTGCAACAGTAACGATAGACCTCTTGCGAGCGAATCATCTACACTTGGTGGCCCAATGGTCTAATGATGGTGTGGTCAGCTGTCTTGCTCAATATTGTTATGACGAGAGTGACTGAGCTTACCTCGGTTGTAGTATGCTCAAGAAGAAGCTGGCTAATTTGAGAGGCAAACTTCTCAATGTTCAGCAACTCAGGCGACCGCTCGTTGATCCTCATAACGAGAAAATAAACCAACCTGAAGAGTTCTTCGCACTGGTTGGGAAATATAGTCGTCTGTCTGACCATGGCGCTGGTGACCTTCCAGAAATATTCCATCATTGAGCACTCACGGGATGTAGCTGAAGTTTCACAGTCAGTCTCACGAATGAGAGTGGCAGTACTCATAACAGCAAAAAGTTCTTCAATTAGTTTTGCAGAAAGCGATCTCATACTCTGGCGGGAATCAATCAGTAGAAGGCGATGCAGGTCATGGTTAAAGTCGGGGTTTGTGCTGAGTTTAGCCCAAAACTTGTCATCAAGCATGCTCAGTCGAAGACAGATCACAAGCGCTCCTGCTATGACCGGAGAAGGGACGTCACCCGGGCAGTCTATGGCATACGACAACATTTTCACCAACCTGTTCGGGTCAGGGAGGGGGAGCCCCTGTGGCGGTATTGAACCTCTGAGGTTACCGACTCCTGTAACCTTGTTAGGCCGAATAACGTGTGTGTGATGAGTGAACATACTGTCAAGAAACTGCCGAAGGGCATGCAGCAAAGTAGACGCCAACTTTAGCCGCAGGAGTACCGAAGCGCCATTGAAAATGTCCTCATCCGAGATTGCCTGTACGATGAAGGATATTGGTGTCTTGAGAGCCTCGGGAAGGATCACAGGATCGGACCCTGAGCCAGTGGTCACATCATTGAGATGACTGATCAGTTGACTAGGGAGGAGGTTTTCAGCATATTCGACCAACGCATGGACAGCGTAAAGAGATTTGAACGGTTGCCCCGAGGGAAAGATATCTTTAGATGACGTTGTTCCACTGCTGATCAACTTCATGAAGTGGCCATCTGTGGGCAGCTTGATGAGAAAGTAGTAAATCTGGAAAGGTTAGTCGAAGTTCCGATCGCCAATTTGCAGGTACTTGCCTCTTGTGCCAGTGCTTCATCCATGCTTAAATACTCCCACATCTCGTCGAAGTGTGCGGAAATCTCAATCTCTAGTGGTGAAGCGCCCGGCCTGACCCTTTTGGAGAGGGCGGGGCCGCCCTCTTCACGTCTGACCAGTATAAGGCCATCATGCACACATAGATCTTCTAAGGATCTGCATATATCTTGCTCACTCGGCAGGAATGGTCGGCCTCGGTAGTATATCCGATAGTTCTCAAACCCGGTCTCTTGCCGCAAACTAGCGAGGAGTGAGGCTGCCGTGTTCGCCCTCCCAATGACAAGTGGCTTGATGTCAGTCTGCTGGTCGCCATCGAAGGACTGATACTTCAGGCCCGCAGGATCTCCTTGGACCTCGTGGGAGGCTTGTGGGATCAGTGTTCGTAGGTCAGGTGCGGACAAGGATGGCTTCGACTGGTGGGCTTCAAGAATATAGCGGAGAAACTTCAACGAACGGGTGAAAATCCTTTCTTGCTGCTGTAACTGCCGTTGCGTAATTGTGGTACCCACGACTTGGCCATCGCTGTTCGCGCCTCGGCTTGCATTTCTCAGCTCCTGGGCAGCGCTTTTCAGCTGCCCTAAGCATCGACTGGCTAGCTTCAGATGGACAGATTGTGCTCTCTGAGTTGAAATAGAGTTGAAAAATCGACTGTCGATATAGACATCAACTGCGAGGGTTCGTATGGCCCTGTCTACTAGAGTCTCATCTTCGGCCTCGAGAATGAGACGCCACAATTGTTCAATGCCACTAGTAGCAACCGCTTCTGGGTCATCGAGAGCAAGGTTGAAATTGTCATTGAGGCGTGGGAGGATCTCAATTCTAAGAAATTCAAGCATACCCTCACAGAAGTATTCGGACGAAAGGGCTGGAAGATGGTAGGTCAGACAAGCTTGAAGGAAAGAATTACCGTTTTTGTTCTTCCGATGGGGACTGTTCAAGATTTCCCAGCCCACCCGCCTATCGTCTGGTGAAAGGGACATTGGCCCTACCAACATGTTCCATAGTTTGATACCAAGATCCTCGGTGATTGATGGCGGCTCAAGCTGGATGAGGTTGGCAATGAACTCTCTCCGAGGTTGGTTGACAGAGCAAGAGAGAACCGCCGGAATCCCTGCCGTCTGGCAAGCCCCAATAGCATGTTCCAACTCTTCAATTACGAGTCTTGTCAAGTCATGGTGTTCTACTAGCCAGCGCATCTCTTGGCTCATGTCCCTTGAGCGTAATGCGATGAATAAACACCAAAGGCTCCCCAAGGTTGTTGCAGACTTATTTGCAAGATCTTGAAGACACCCAAGGTAGAGCTGTTGCTGCCCTTCAGCATCTGGACCGCACCTCAGGAGCTCTATGAATTTCTGCATTGCTGCTTGTTGGATGTCAGGATACATGACTTGCGATCCGGATGCACAAACAGACGAATCCCTCAATAGACGCAGGCATAAATTGTACGGTTGGACAACGAGAAGACGCTCTTCCGAACATTTTTCTGCCATACTCTTCATGACACCCTCCCAGAGCATTCGGATGGCGGGCGTAAATGCGTCTATGGGAAGAGTCTGGAACTTCTCACAGAGAAGCAAAAACCCATCGTCGTCAAAAAGATGCGCGACTTGAATGACCATGCGGGCCAGAGCGTCAGCGGTACGGGGATCTTGCCTGGAAGTAATGCCCTCCCAAAACCTATCGATATGCGTCCTTCGGTACCTTCTCGTCACAATGATGAAGCCAATGATGTTAGCACCCTCAACAATAATTTCAGGATGGCAGTTGGCGCCTAGTAGATAGTCGATAAATCCGGTCCGGATCAGGTATTCCGCAATGTGTTCGACATAACGGCTTCCATCATCGGCTTTGCTGTCGAAATGCTTTTTCCAGAAGGCAATAAGCTCTTTGCACATTTGTGTCATGCCTTGAAATCGAAGTTGCATTTGGCTTGACTTGATTAGTTTGATCAAGAACTGAAAGCGGTGTTCATAAGAAATCGCTTCAGAAGTGTATCTGAGAGGCACTGCTGGAAACTCTGTGCGGTGCTGTTCCAACATGCGAGTTGCAGCTGCGTGATCACCCTTGAGAGCTATGTTGATCATATTTGACAAAGCTTGAACGATCACGAGAACACTGTCTGCGGCGAGATGCGTCGGACTCTTGTCAATCATGATGTCCAATCTTTCGTGTATCAGATCGAGCAATGTGTGGCCTACCAGAAGTTTCTGGTTGTTTTTGAAAGCAAATTCGGGAGTAACAAAGTTACAGGAATCTTCCATGATATCTGACGCGACTAAGCATATAGGTGCCAGTTCATTGGTCAACCGGGGATATGTAGGGATAACTTGGAATAATGCTCTTGTCAGTTGGAGAAGGCGACTGAGGCTCCCGCCTGGGCTGTCCTGGTATGCCTTAAGAAAGGCCATGGACAAGGCCCCGAAATGCTGATACTGATCATCGCTCAACAATAGCGGGCTGATGATTGAGTGGAGGTTCTGAAGATAACATGGGCAGAAAAGTTCGACGGTCTGCTGTCCCCGACCTCCATGTTCTGCTATGAACTCTTTGATCGTTTGAATATCCTGATTGACGAACCATGCCGACAACCTGGCGTAGTCTAAAAAGATGGCCTTGGTTTGATGCCGTAACAAATCATCTGCTAGAAACGGAGGCCTGTGCAACGTTAGTCTCGGTACACAGGAGCATGCGTGGTGGGCTTACTTGTGGGCAGCCATAGTGGTAACAATGCGTGGGAAGGTCACCCAGAAAACATGGTTAAGACGACATGAATCGACCACCAATTGCTGATTGGCAGTAGCGATGTAATCGAGATACCGTCCAAGCCATTGTTGGAGTTTGTAGATGACTCCTGCATCGATTGACGATTCTATACTGTTAGCGTCTAGACCCTCAAGGAATAGGAGAATGGGTCTTACGAGTTTCAATATAGTTGCAGAGGCGCACCACCATTCCCTCCAGTGTCTCTGTGGGTTCCCTGAAAGGAAATTCATTGATGGGATCGATCACGACAGAATCATCATCGACTATTGAAACCCCAATGCTCTGGCGATCAGAAGCCATATCATCATCCGACTGCACAGTGATAACTTCGATAGGAGGGCTTGCTGAATGCGAGAAGCTGGACCGTGGAGTGCTGAAGTTCTGAGGAGGCGGCACCATAGCGACTTCAGTATCCTCGACGCTCTCTTTGACTTGGTCCTTAAAGACATCAGCCGTAGTCTCAGCTGCAACTGTCTGGGCCACGTTCGGTGGAGGTGGTGAGGAAGTTGAGTCATTCCCGGGCACGTTTCTCAGGTTAAGAGTAGCCATGCTAGATGGCGGCTCTGTTGACGGGTCGCAAACAGGAGAGCCTGTATCTGAAGTCTTGGGAGCGGCGGAGTCTGGTTGAGAATAGGTAGTTGTCGAGCCAGGTCGAGGCAAGACAGGTTCAGTATCAAGGGTGGCGGAGCGAGAAGAGTCGTGACCAGGATTCACTGTGCTGTGAGAATTGGTGGGAGACCCAGAGAGCGAAGTTCGTTGTCGCTTGCGAGATGATATGTTGCTGTCATCAAAGGGATTCGGCCGGGTCGAGCTCGCTTCAGCGGAGGCAGCACGATCTGGGAGGGCGGGCGATCTCGAGGCTGGATCCATCGGAATCGTAGAAAGAGGCCAACGGGGACAAAGCGTGGAGGTGCAGAGACGTCACACCGTCGCGAAAGACGCCCCGGCGATAGCTGCACAAAATTAACATGTGGGTTTGATAGAAACTGTGAAATGTAGCGGGGCAAAGTAGCAAGATTCCCAAGCTCGAAGATATAGAGGGTTCGAAGAGGGAATCAGAGCTAAAGCACAAGTGCGGGGGGGGAGGAAAACGTAGACAAATGTGTGCGAATAAGAGGTCCTGACGTTGAAGAACGGATGAAAGATGGTTGCCCAGAGGAAAATACTGTTTACTCTTGGGACTTGGATTGTGATGCGGATAAGAAAACAGGCGGATGGATTGGATGGATAAGACTTTTGAGATGGATCTGAGGATAGGATACCTTAGGTAGGCAAGTAGGTAGGTACCTAGCCACCTTAGTTCAGGCTAGGATATGGGGGAGCATGGATTGGCAGTGCGCGCTCGCGGTTTGCTAGTGTGGATACCCCGCTATAACACGAGCACTGGGGGTGCAGGTAGTAGACTAGAGCAAGATGGGAATGTTTTGGAAGGGAACGGGACACATTCGTTTGAGAAAGAGAAGAATGGGGTTGTGGTTACTTGCCTTGTCAAGGAAATGATACTGCTTTATCGAATGAGAAGATTGTTGAAAAAAGACAGCCTTCCGATCTTGCCAACGTGAATGGGCAAGTATATAATGGAAGTTATGGAGGTTCTTAGGGAAGGTAAAGTATGACGAAGGAAGGGCGATAAGAGAACCCTCACATTCGTTGGGTAAGGGATGAAAATGGTGCGTGCCGGAGCCTTGAAACTTTCGGGGGTTTAATGGAGGGTCTCTCTGGTGCCGTCGAGCTAAGATGTACGCTGGGTACCTGGTAGATCAAGATTATCCTGGTGCCCGGTTGCCTTGCAGTTGTTTTTGGCACTGACAGTTGTTCCGCACAAACTTGAGATCCTTTTAGTGGGGAGCTCACCTCCAGATAGCTTGGGCGTGATGTCAGCTGCTGTCGGAGGGCGGGGTAAAAAGGTGTGAGGATAGTGCGATTATCCGTACATCAAGGACGCGTTCTCGATTGGCTCCATGGACGGTGCTGTAGGTTAAGGTACTAGGTTTGGCATTTATACCTAGGTAGGTATACTGCCGATTGATTCTACAGTAACATTCATTCAACGGGGAAGTATCCAATATATATATGTAGGGGTAAAATATTTTAGTAACTCAATTAAAGAAATATAGCTACAGTGATTGCCAGCCAAGCCCTGCTAACACATGAAGCGAGGGCTTGAAATGAAGTAAAACCTTGTACTCAAAGTCATTCACGCGAGAGTAGGTAGTCATGATAACGAGTGCATCTTTGGTGGGGCATCAAACATCCCCAACTTTCAATCATGAATAAATGACGGCAGAAGCAGCTTACCTAGATCTGCGTCATTTGTTGCTTTAACTGAGGATTTGGGCATTACAATTTGGGAGAAGTAGGTAGATAGCTTAATTTGGAAGTAAACCTGTTGTCTTCCAGGTCCAGATTTGAGTTGATCTGTGCGCGGTTGTTTGCCGACAGATTCATGATGACCAACCATGTTTGATTTGATTTGTGACCATGTTCGGCTGTCTGCCTTAGGCTGCCTCATGTTCGACGCGTGCATGTTTCCTATCAATTGCATGCCCCAGGCAAGTGGCATTTTTTCGACACGTTTCAAAGGAATTTGAATAAAGGGGTTGTGATTTTTTTTTAAATCTATAACTAGTACCTATAAATCTACTATATACTAGGAAGTTACCTTACCTGGGGCACCAAGGCAAGCTGTAGATTCGTGATCCATCTACGGGCTTAACTGAATATTGCCCAGGGAGTCTCGGGCCTTTCACAGCCTTTGTCTGCCTCAGACTAGTTATGCAAGCCATATCGTCTATGTTAACCAACATCATTGATTCCATTGAGGCAATCTAACATCAACTCTTTGCAAATCTGGTAAGTAATAGACTACTCACAGCTGTCAAAAGCTTGTTTTAGCCAAAAGCCCTATCAATGATTGGTCGCCATTCAGCTGGCCTTTTCAGAGTTTGGTCCTGCGGCCTATGACATGTAATCCGGCGCTAATAAGCAACTCCCCGTCAAAAATCCTGCCCCACATAACCCGCCCATCCATTTTATTGTGAATAGCTGCAAGGCTTTTTCAGGTCTCTCATGTCATTCTTGAGCCACGCTGCCCTTCGATGAACATTAAATTTCACTTAGTGGCTTGCAATTAGAGGTTTGGTCAGAGGTCGTTTGTTGTTTCCAGTGTCTTGCACGTCACTGAGTGTCATCATGTCCGCTCCCGCTTCCCAAGGCCCCCGTAAGAAGGTTGTGCACCAGCTTGACACTCCTTTCTCTACTGTCTCATGGTATGAAAATATCTCAAGTTTCCAGGTTGTTTATGTCTCACACGAACAGGCCCTCAATCTTGATAGAAGACCAGGACACCATCCTCGAATTGCTGTGCGAGTAAGTCAGCTTATATCTTGGCCGAGTCTTACACATATCTCTCCATGAAGGCCACTAAGTTCAATGCGAAGACTTTCTAACGCCCACAGACTCTTGAGCCCCATTGGAAAGTATCGTCAGACACAAATCAAGAGATCCAAGGGAAAGCGTTCATCGCAAAAGGAGAAAGCGACCAAGAAGACAGCCCATGCTTCAGAACAACCTCCAGTGCCCCCGATGCCCGAGATAGAAGCCAGCATCGATGTCGGTCTTAACTGTATTACTCGAAACCTGCAGTTGTGTTCGCGACAAGAGACTGGATCAATGGGAGACGAACCTGACCGACAATATTCCATGGTCTTTGTAGCGCGGGGCGATCAAGCCTCAACATTCAACTGCCACTTCCCACAGATGATTGGGGCGGTATCTAGGAAGACCAGTTCCGAAAGGAAAACTCGCCTGATAGGCTTATCTAAACCATGCTCTGAACGCTTGAGTTCTTGTCTTGGAGTGCCAAGGGTCTCGTCTATAGCTATTCGAATGGATGCCCCAGGAGCTGGAGCTTTGCAGGAGTTTGTTATGAAGAAAGTCGAGCCAATAGAAGCCTCGTGGCTTGCTGTGTTTTCGGATGCACAATATCTTGCCCCAAAGATTAATGCTATAGAAACAACGGTGGGACCCAAGCGAGCGCGTGTTGAATGAGGTAGACAGATAACCTAAGCAGGGGGGGGGTTTATGCATGTATCCTATAGAAATCCGAATCATCTTATTAGCCTATCAGCTGTTTGTTGAACGGTATTGGTAGCTGCATAGTGTAAAGTCTCAAACGCCAAAACCATTCAGGGGTGCGTAAGAAAAGTACTTGACAATGTAGTACAGGAAGGAGACATCTTTTGCGCATATTCTCCTTTTATCTTTGAATACCACCTAGGTACCTAGTAGGTAAATTTCCAATTCATGGCTGTGAAATAGAGTGAGCAGTGTCAAGCAGGATACCATCCCGCGACCCTCAATTGTCACTGTACAACCCCCTAATCCAGCACCAGACGACCGTAAGGATGCAGGCCACCCATGAGGGAGGTTTGCAGACGGACATTGAGTCACGGTTACAGCCGAGACAGTGAGTAGGTCCTCCTATTTTAGCTAGAATTCATCCTCCCACAATATCACAGCACCAAACCCTGCAGCTCCTGAGTGCATGAACATACAAACCAGCCAGGGGAGCCCAAGGACAGCGTTTGTACTCCTCCTGGGAAAGAGAGCTACAGCTCGAGCAACTGAGATCTGGTTGATAGATTTATACTCAGTAGGGCAGCTAAGAGGTAGGTAGTGGACTCTTGGCTTGGCTGCATTGCAATACAGCACTACCCCCCTAAGGACGATGCTACAGTGACTTCACTCAACTATCACTCCTCTGTAATGCTGCCTATAAGCAATCCTTCCAACTAAAATCATCCTCATAGAGGTGCCGTTTCCTTAATTCACCAAATATCTCTGCTCATAGCCACCCACTTGTGGCGGTTGCTGGGCTGGGTACGTCCATCACTTTCTCTCGCCCTCCCCCACCCATCACGTTCTTCTTTCCTCCTCCATCTCACCACCACGTACCAGAACTTTCGTTTTGATTTTCTTTTTCCCTTTCACCGGTATGTCTTCATAAAACAAGATACCTTATAGACTATCAAGTAAGGTACCCCTCAAGAAGACTTGCCTTTTGTTTTCTTTCTTTCCATCGTCCCCTCTGCTGGCTGATGCCAGCAGAAGCTCAGCACGTCCCTTCTCAAGATCCAAGGTAAGTCGCTTTTCCCTCTGAATCTTTCAGGATCACATCACTGTCGTCAAGCATCCGTCTGCGTCATGATACAAGGCATGTTAATGCTATGCTTCGGTCGGTTAACAGTGAATAGTTCAGAACTATCGCCTGTCCAGTATAGCCACACCCCAATCTTCACTGCACAGTGGTAACTGATTACGTCTGCAATATTAACGCCGTCGCGAGTTGCACTATCAAAGGCTTATAGTATGAACGATTGCCTCATTTCTATTATCTCTTAGCTGACACTGTCTCATTGCAGTGGCCTCTAAACCGCCTCCCTTGCACACGTCCGTAGTCTTGTTGTTACACCAGCCACAGCAACCATGAGCAACAGAGGGTATCAAGACCCTAGCAAGGTGTCAGATGCCAAGGCACTGCAACTGTTGTTCAAATCCAAGACCGGAGCCAAGAGTCAAAGCAACATCCCCAAGAAACGAGCAGGTCAGTATTTCAAACTTTGCTTCATCCTACTTAGACTCGGGAAAGCACAATCCTGAGTTGGGTAAATCCACGCCAAGTGCAACAAACCGGTTCGTTAACAGGTAGACTAACATACTGTTTCAAGGCCCATCGATGCAACCTGCGCGCCCAGCACCTGCGCGCCCATCACATGTACCCCCAAGCGGTTCTGCTACTCCGTCAACAACAGATCGGTTCTATACGCCTACCCTCCTACCTAACCCTCTTGATCGGAAAGCTGGAGCTA